CCGCTTGAATTCCTGATTAACTTGCTGTCTTGAATGATAAATATCATGTGATATATTATAGAAATTCTCATAGAGTCGTTCAAAGTATTTGAATTGATCAAATAAATAATTGATCTGATTGAAATTCATGCTTTGAATATTCGTTGAATTAGAAAAAATTGTTAAATTAGGAAAAAATTACTACTCATCAAATTTATTAACAATTAAATTTGTTATTGCAGATTTTTACGTATTGTGAAATTTACTGTATTTTCTGCTAATTAACAGAACTGTTGACAGGTAAGGTAGTCGGTCTATTACATGGAGATTTGCATCGCTCTAAGCATGATTTTGCTGTGTACTCACCCATATTATCTTTCTTTACTTCTACACAGCTGGGCTGAGTCATTTTTACTTCAAATTGCAAGATCTTAGCAAGAGTATAAGTACTAAAATATCCCTTAAACTGTCAATTTAACTATGTATCTATAGTCATGGTTTATTTAATGCCTTTAAGTTTCCATGGTCGCAATATGGCTTTATTTTCAAAAAAGGCTCAATTATTTCTTTATTAACTAACTGGTCAATGTTCTCAAATATTCAATATGGCTTTAATAAATATTTTTACTAGAAATAAATAAATAATTTACAAAGTATATAAATGTTTTATGATAAAACGACGATTGTGAAGAATCGTAAATTTTTGCTGTTACATTATTATGAAAGGTTAAGAAGTTTTAGCATAGTGTTTTATGAAACCAAATTGAAACAAATGATGTAGTTTCTATTAATTAAACAATAGGAGAATCACTAAAACCTAATCTGAATTTTTTTTTATTATCAAGTTTGTAATAAATAGTGAGTTTAGCGATAAATTTGACGTTAAATAATTATGACCCAGCAATTCGAAGCGACCGACTTTAATGGTTATATTCAATTCTTTCAAACAAAATACAACAAGATCTTAATGAAAATCTGAATATTAAAAACTTATCCGAACCTTATTTCAAACTCCGTACTCAATACAAGAGCGAAACTTTTTCAGATGACAATAATTTTAAGCAAAATAATCTTCATACTATAAACAACCAATTTTACGGAGTTATCGAACAACTTAAAGATGAAGAGATATCTATTTTTAATTTGATTTGTTCTTATGGATTGAATTTTCGAATTTTTTACCAGTGTCAAGTTAGAAGCTATTGAAATTGAAGACGATTCTCCAAAGCAATCAAAAGTTCGTTTTTTTATAAAGATTATCTTTTTCAAAACTATAAATGGTTGCATAACCTTTTATGATAATAGTCACATTCTTTTGGCGAAAATACTCAATTGTGTCTAATTCTTCTTTTTCAAATTCTTTGTAGGTATATACTTGTTCTAGGCAACAACCACTGTCAGATGTATTTTTAATTAATCTATTACAAATTAAATGAGTTAATTGCGAGTTCGAGGCAAACACTTTTTTTAGATCTGATAAACATTTAGGAAAACCTAAAGACAAAGTTAATCTTTTGAGCTTCGGAAACTTGTACAGCCATGGTCCTAATTTTTCCAGTAAAACTTTATGATCTATATTGGTTTCTGATAAATTAAGCTCTTAAACGTTAATAGGTGTTGTATGTTTCAATAGAATATCCTCTGGATTATGTCCGGACCTATTATAACAAGGTATAATAATACCGAATTCTTTTAAATTGGCAAAAATGGATAATCTATTTAATTGCTCAGAAGTATTTATGATAGAATACAATTGTGTGATATGAGGACATTTCTTGATGATCAAGTTCACAATTTCATCCATTTCTTGTATATAGTTTAACATATTATATCTCGGAACCAGCCTAACAGTTTGCAAGAAACTGAAATCATAACTAGTAAACAGTATTTTTTCCAATCTTCCATTATAGAATAGCTCTAAGTCATGTAATTTGTAGAATTTGCCTTGGCAAGCGGTATAGTCAAGCTCTTCTTGGATAGCACAGTATTTGATTTGTAAAACCTCGAGATTAGGTAATTGACTTAATTTGGCTAGTAGTTCTGGAGTAACTTTTACTATATTTAATACTATTTTCATTAAGTTGTCAGCAGCAAAATTGAAGTTATCAATTTCTACCAAACCAGAACGATGAGTAGAAAGATCCTGATAGAAGGAATATGCATTAGCTATAAATTTAAAACTTCTTAAATTCTTTTGCTGATTAACTAAATTAGAATAAGCTGTTATTAAAAGCCGAGGATTGTAAGTGTACGTCTCGAGACTAATTTTTTGAATTTTATCCTGCATTTGCACCAAACCATTTAGGAGATCAAAAATGCTAGAATGATATCTGGCAATCAAAAAATCTAAACTTTTTAGTTTAGCACTATGATGAAAAATCTGCTTAAGTATTTTCTTAAAATCAATAACTTTTGTAACAACATTAAGTTCCAACAAGCAAAATTCTAAGTTTTCCCAAGTGCAAATCGTATCAATTTGTGGATTTAAAAAAGAGATAGTTCCTGTTTCAACGATATGTATGTTGCGAATTATCTTGCATTTCTTTAAAATCATTTTTTCTAGAGCCAAAGAAATGGAACTTTTCAGTAAACAAATAGCCTGTTCCTGAAGAGTTAAGTCTTTAGTAATGTTATTAATCCAACTTTCTATTATTTGGTCAATATTTTTCTTAGAATAAGATCTTAGGTAGCAAACATAATCAAAGGTGGTTGTAGTATTGAGGAAATGTGGTAGCAAAATGCTATTATCATTATTGTTGTAAAGAATCGACTTATCCTTGGCATCTAGGCAAGAAAGATAGGTAGCAACGATTTTGGTACAATAGGATTTTTTACATATTTCTGCATAAATTAAATCCCACGGCTGATGCCAGAGAATTGGTACTATTAGTTTGCAGAATTCTTTATTAACTAGGACTAGGTTAAATAAAGTAGAGACATCGTTTTTGAAGAATGAAAAAATTTCTAAAAACACTTCTACTAAGTAGTAAGACATCAGTAATTACCAAAACCAAAACTGTAATTAAATAGCATGTATTTTGACATTTTATAAAGTATTTATGCTACTAGTTGGACAATACAATATGTAATGCAATTTCTATTTTTGTCTATAATTATCTAATTCAAATTTACTAATAGAAAGATGATTCTCTATAACCAGGCTTATGCCTTGTTTTTACAAATAATTGTTTGTTTCTAAATCTTCTTTTGTATCCACAGCATGTGCTTGATGTATAGCTATTAAAATAAAAATTAGGTGAATCTTTTATTAATCTAAGATATTTTAAATAAGTTACTTTGTTTTTTGTACTTCCAAACAATGCTTTTAATTCAGTAACATGTTTAGAAAATTCATTGGTAAAATTAACTTTTCTAGCATAGATATTTTTCTGGCAAACAATTCTGTTTTTTTTGCAAGTGCTGTTGTTACAATCAAAATCGGCTTAATTTAATCAGTCATTATTTAGGTTTAAAAGATAAGATGTCTTCTTAATTAAACAACTTGTTTTTATTGGATTTATTTATTTATTGTTACTAATGATTAAAAAAACATAGATATGGCTAAGCTTTCAGAAAAAAGTCTTGAGATGAAAAAGACTACAATTGCTAAGGTTAATGAAAAAGGAGAAGTTCCAGAGCAAGAAAAAAGAGTTCAGGAGATTATAGATAGTTCTAGAAAAGAATTTGGCAAGATTCAGTCGGTACATTGGAAGATAACAATCAAGAATCTTATTAGTTGATTTTGTTGTGTCGATAAGCGATAAATCACGTGAATCTTGTGTTCGTAGCTTTCACCTTATTTTTGGTTTAGTTTTTTTTTTTCGAAATATGTATTCTTTACCTAGCGCTAGATTTTATTATTCATAAATAAGAAATATTCCTGTAATAACCAATATTCTTATTATCGTTATTTTTTAGCATTAGTTTAAACTATTTATATTGAACCTAATATAATTTTAATATTAACATTATATTATTTATATCTCAATTGAATAATGTAGAGGTTAAGAATTATCGATATAAATAAAAATATTATCAATTTAACTTAAAAATTAAGTCTTCTTAAGATGGTTAATTTTCAATTTAATCTTATGTTCATAAAATATTGGAATTAAACCCGATTATTAAAACAATAAATACGAGCCATATATTGCGAAAAGTGGACTCTTAGAAAATTCTACCTTCCTGAGATTTATGAGCCACTTGTACACAGGACCTTCAGAGTCGACCAATCCACGAAGTGGTCCCTGTTCAATCGAGACAACTCTTTTATTTAGTTTATTACTTGACAAGAAAACACAAATTAAAATCGTGACTCTTCAAACAAGTAAAAGAAAGTCTTTAAAAATAATCCTCTTTAAACAATTATAAACACCTCTTCCATCATAACATCTTCAAACGTTTGATTATGCCGAAGGATCCGCTCATTTAGCAATTTTAGCAATAACTCTTATTATTATATTATGTATTATCAGAAAAATCAATTGCAATTACTTCTATTGAAACATTCTTCAATACACCTATCACAACACAACATAGTAGTCATTATGGTATAAATTAAATGCTATATATACTTGCGTTTCGTGCTTATAAAGTTAACATTCATCTCGGTCGCCGAATCATCCCAATTAATTTTTTCCCAACTAATATTTTCTTCTCTACACAAATCTATAGCTTCTGAATTATTATTCTTAGCTGCTATTATTAAAAATTTTTTACCCTTTTCTTTATCTACTGGAACATTCAGTTTACCAAAATAAAAAAGTTTTTCTAAATTATATTGAGCCAAATGGTTACCATTATCAGCAGACTTAGAAAGATAAGTAATAAAATTTGTTCTAACTTCCTCATTTATTGTATTTTCCCCATCAATTAATGAAAACGCATAGCGCAATTGAGATGCAACACCTTTGTCGGCTGCAATTTTATATAATTTTGATGCCTTTTCTTTATCTATATCACTACCAATACCTTGGTACAAATAATAACCATACCAAAAAGTTAATACTTCATATACTTTCCAAGAAGGCACGGTTTTCCTTTTCTATCCTTAAACGTTCTGGATTTTCTTTGTCTATTTTCTTCTTTGCTTGTGATTAATTAAAATTTCATTATTAAATTTCTCAATAATTATAAGATAAGATTGAAATTTCTAAACTAGGCTTAGATATATCCTGAGTATTTTGATACCACAATGAGATGACATTTTTTAACTTGTAGCTTGAATATGTCTTTAGAAAGTCAGTATATTCAAATAAGATTTTTTGAGGAATACATGAAAAGTCGACTTGATACACTCTTGAGGCTTTTCATTTTCATTAAGGTATGAAAGATAAATAGATATAACATCTATAGAATCTTTAGATATATTATCGAAAGGGTCAGCCCATAACATTGGCACTGTAAATCAGCAAAATTCACGGTTGACCAAAAGACAATTATATAAAGTATGGTGGTCACATTCAAAATTTTTGATTACTTCTAAATAACATTCATTGGTTAATTTCATTTTTATATATTTCAATATATTGCAAAGTCAGTTTATATAGCAAAGTCAATTTATATAGAATATACCATATTGTCTCGAAATGACGCCCGGGGTGTAGGTTGAATTTTTGGCCCGAATTAAGCCTTAATTCGGCCTAGATAAAGCTTAATTCGGGCAAAACTTTTAACATACACGTTGTGGCGTTATTTCGAGACAATGATAATGATAACTTATCATTAATTTATGAATTGTAAAAGTTCAATTTCAAAAAGGTATATTGTTACGACTAGGGAGAGCTTTTGTATTTCCAAGCCAATTTAGTCCAGCGCCGTAAGCATAAATCCTGATGGCAA